AAAATCGAATAGTAGATATTTTAAAACCAAAGAATATCAAAAGAATGATAAATACCGAAAGTTGCCATTAAAAGGGTTAAAGCCATTAAAGTCGGATGCCAAATGAAAAATTCATACTTGGCAGTAAAGGTTATGTACCAGACAGTACTAGCAAAAAGTAAAGTACCGGCGCTCGCGAATAGAAAAGAAACGAAAGCCATGTTAAATTTAGTTGGGCCAGTTGGAGTTGGAATTTTACCGTGTTGAGCGTGTTGAGGAGCAACTTCCCTAGGAATATCGTGACTAGAATGAAATTCTGAACTAGATTGGTCAATCAATGGCCTTTGAACGTCTTCGGAATTTCGTGAAACCATGGATTTACACTATGAGCTGGTTGAAGAAAACATTTAGCATTTATAAACATTTATTTTTCGATTGTTAATAGTACAAAAGTCGGAATAATATCAAAGTTACTTGTTTTTTCTGGCCTACGAATTCAAAGATACAGCTATTGATTAAAATTATTATTTATTTATTTATTATAAAATTCTGCATTCACATGGTATTAGCTAAAAACGGACAAAGATTCTGCTTGTTTTTGTTTAGGTGCAGTTCGTGATCGGAACTTAAATTTGTTTGATAACGATAAAGCTTTATATTACGAAATTTTGTTTAGACGATTTAAAAGTAAAGCTTTTGACGTAAACATCATTGTAATTAGGATATAATATAAGGGTAGGTATGTACTGTACAGTACATACCAAAAGACAGATCTAAGCCGATTGCTGAGGTTGCCAATAATAAACGATTTCATATAAATGTTACACGAATTTACTCAGTCGGATCTAAAACATAAAATAATTAGTACAGCCAATTAGAAGTTGGGGGTAAATTAGTAAATTCGCGTCATTAAATGTATTACATCTAGAAGAATCGTTATCAATGATCAAGAGGAAGTCGATTTTATGCAACTTTAATAATTTCTTTGTTGTAAATGAGTGACACCAAAGGAAAACCAGAATTTGGGTTTCAAACTGAACCCACTCCTAAAAATTCGAATCAGTAACGTTTTTAAAGCACGTGTAATAGACTATTAAAAACAAACCTATATGTAGTTAGTAATTATCATAGGTTACAGCTAAGTTGTTGAATGCAATGCCGTAATTATAATGAGTTACCGATTACGGCAAAAAATGCCGAAATATACACTTATTGGGATCAAGGTAGCCCGTTAGCGTTAGAGTGTTCGACACTAATAAATTAAACAATAGTAGGGTACTATATGTTCGGATCTTTTAAGAGTTGATTTCACATACGAATTTATATATGAATTCGCACTGATCTAGGTACATTTTTTACCTAACTGCTAACAGACAAAATTGTACGTATCGTATTTTTTTTTTAAACATAGTTCTAACACTGTAATAACTCTTAAAAAAGGTTTATTCTAATTTTATGGAAAGGTAACAACAATTATTGCAAAAACGGCTCTATTACAGTGTAGAGCTAGTTTATAGCTATA